ACCAGCCAGCCAGTCAGAGTGAGTTCCTTGTTGCTTATTCTTCTTATTCTCGCCTTCCAATCTGAGCTTCAGTAACGAGTCAGCGTAAGCACTTGTTGATGAGTGCCTGTAATTTGTTGGCAATGCTTTTCGTGTCGCGCCAAGTCTGTCAACCACATAGAATCACTGACTTGACTGAATTGGTGTTGAAAATCTGGATGTTGTTGACGCTTTATGCTGAGTGGAGTGCAGAAGATCTCCACACTGGTTTCAGGTTAATGAACGCCTGTGTTGCCGTCTTTCCGATCCTGGCTGCGTTGACGTCCTTGTCTGTGCCTGTGCTGCCTGTAGTTGAAACGGTGCTGCCTAGGTGGTTGGATGGAAGAGGCTACTTCCTTTAAGTTTCTCGCGTTGATTATGATTGGTGATTGTTGTTGATGCTGTTGTTGGTTGGGTATCTTCATCACCTACGTCCTCTCTACATTTACTTGAAGTCCTGCCTTCACTGCCTTGCCCCTTCTGTTAACTTGTTAGTTCTAGCCTGTAGATCTTCGAGTTTGTGCCACAAGGCATTCGACACAAGTCATCAGCGAAATTCAAATCAAGGATCTTTTCCCCGGTCTAGCGTATCCCCTTCTTCTCATAGCTCCTCACTGTTTGTTGCATGATCCAGTCCACTACAATCAGGAATATCATGAGTGATAGTAGACAGCCTTGACTTACTCCTGCCTCCTGTCTTCACTTCAAAGGTATCACTGATCTTCCCATTGTGAATTACTTACTTCAACATAATAAAGGTGTTTGCAAGTCACCTTCATAAAGCTAACCTTTGTTTTCAAAAGAAGTTTGTCCTACCACTTTCATTACCGTGGCCGTTAACATGATGTAACTTCTAGTATTTCTTTGTACACCTCCTCCCCTTCTTATTTCTATCAATATTCATTTGTTTTCTTATCATTACGTAATAATCTTTTGTTTATGACTGTTTGATGTACAACTAAAGTACAAATGTCAGTAATTCTCTGATATTCCTTTCTTTTCCTAGTTTTGTTCTATATATATTGTAAGATGAGACATTTCATTTCATTTTCCGATAATTCTTGTAAATAAAGTTAAATTTAATTTATACTGGGTGATGTCTATAGGTGAAATGAAGATTTGAACCGTGGCCGGATTCAAAGCAGTGACCATCGGGTTTCTGGCCCGATGCTCCAAATTTTCCTTTCACCTTCAGTCATCACCCAGTAACAATACAAGTCTGCCAAATCACGGCTATCTCAGATGGTCTGAATGATAGTCAACATAATCCTCCCTGTCTCTAATTCAGTTAGATTTGTAATGGGATGAGAAGTCTTGACTAGGCAGCTAGTGTGACACAACCAAGCATTAGTAACGCGTTACGAATTCACATAGTAGTTGGGCAGAATTCTTGGTGACTGGAATGAAATAATCTGGTCAGCAGTCAGACCTCGTAAGTCAGTTGGTAGAGTATCGGGCTGGAAACCTGGTGGTCGCTGGTTCGAATTCGGCCGTGGTCTAAATTTTCATTTTGCCTTCTTTCATCACCCAGTAACAATACTAGTCTGCAAAACTATGGCTATCTCAGATAGTCAAATAATAAATTTAGCTTGACAGTGGATACTGTTTTAGTGGTTAAATAACTCTCAGTGCTGTTGGAGTTTTCGTACTACAAACTATGTAATTTAATGTGGATAGGTATCACTAATCAATATGGTTTAAACTACAGTTAAAAATTTTCAAAATATTTGATTTACTCCTGTAAATACTTCACTCGGTGAATTCAAGTGTCAAATTCGTTTACTGTAACACTTTATGGTGCATGAACAAATTCTAGGAAAAGTGATAATTTACTCTTGTGGATTACATTCTATCATGAGAATATTGAGTACAAGGCGTTAAAAGCTTTTCATAATCTTGTGACTGTCTAGACGACGTGCCAGTTGGCTGAATAACGTGAAGCAACTAGTTCCTGTTGTCTCACAAATTGATCCATTTAAAGCTGGTTTTAGCTACTTATGAGTAAATATGAAGACAAACTTGGTTATATTGTGTTCTATGAGCTGGGTTGTTTAATCATGGAGTTTACATTGTCGTTCTAGACGACATCATCAGCGTTTACTTCAGTATGAAGTGAGCAGTCAGTATCTCTCCGTCAGTCACTCAGTAGCTTGCCCTGACGAATTGGTTTGTGACTGGTTGTTTCCTATGATTTTTGTGTCATTGACTGCGAAGATTTTCTTCCTGGCTGTTCCTCTGCTGCATCTATGACCTTTCTGTCATTGGTTGATAGATCAGGTATATGTCTATACATCTATTGATTGCTTACTGACTGACCTGAATGCCAAGCTTCTATGAATTCTCTGATATTCTTTGTGTTTCCTCTGTTCAGCATCCCTACGTTGTCAAAATTGAATACATGTCCATAGTGTTTATCCACTTGCTTTGAAATGAGTGATGAAATGTTATGACGTTTAATAGCCAATCGGTGTTCATGTAGATGAAGGAGAAGAGGCAATCACCTTCTGCAATGTGATGTTGATCACAATTGTTGCAGTTGATTTTCTAAATGATTGCTGCATCATAGTTTTTGTAGGGAATTTGTTGGTTTATAAGCCACACCAATTCCAAGTGATTTCTGATATATTCTATATATGTGTATGTATGAAGATAATCTTAAAACAGCACTATATTTACATTAATTGCTGAAAATTCGCCCAGGAAAGGCCAGAATTTCGTCAGTTTCTGATGGATAGTCCTTCTCTCCACGACTGTATCGAGATGATTTAAGAATCCATTAAAATCCATCAATACCTTCAATTCTCATCACAAGTTTAGAATTAAGATGGAACTGATGGTAAATAGTGGAATTGATTGGGAGAAATACCTACTGTCAAAACAAGGATGTAATAATCTTATAAAAAGACTTCTGATTGACGTTCATCTAAATTCGTTTGTATTAGTGTAGCTTTACTTGATGGTGATCAGCAGTGAGCTCGAGGATGTGTATCTGATCTAATTTGTGGCTAAAGGATATTCCTCCGGGACTTAAACCGATATATGCTTGGAAAAGCTATCATAACCCACCTGAATGCAAGTGTATCCACCCGGAAAGTCCTAAAAACGACGAGTGAGCGTCTCGAATTCCTCCTGCTTGTCACTGTTAAAGAAAATTACATCGTAATAAAACTAGATTCATTATTCCAGCTTCTGCCCAAGGTGCTTATGTGCCAGTCCAAGGAAACAAACAAGAGAAATTTATAATTACAAATAAATTTCGTGAGTAAAACCATTAAACGATATGATAACTGTCTTTGAGTTACTTGGATAAGAGAATGAATCCCACTACAAACACACGATCATAAGAAATGCGTCAATAGCAATATTTCCCCTCTATGCCACTAATATCATCAGAAATGACATTGTTTATGGTTTAAGAGATAAGAGGAAAGAGTCTCGAAATTGCTAGCATTTATTGACTAGTCCAGTAATTATCTGAAAACTTTATTTGCTTCTAAGTTTCAGGTATCCATAACTAAGAAACACACTTATTTGTGAAGTGCAAGTATAATTTTAGAGAAAAGTATACAACTACTATGCATATTCCTTAAGATATTCAAGAAGCAACTGTGATGAAAGTAAAGTATCTTTTTGAATACTTTTCATATTGCAGATTTCACTAGCGTTTCTATTTATAAGATAAAACATGTCAGCCAGCAGTAATTTGTTTCTCCGCCCCTTTTTATGATTAATCATGCATCATCTCATCAAGATCAAAATAAGACCAGGCATTGCTGCTTATTGGTCCAAGTTGCCACACCTCATCATATCAGTACATCACGTACCAAGGCAATAAAATAGAAGATGAAGAAAGAAAGAAAAATCGGTTAGAGGAAGTAGAAAGTAGTAAAAGAGAGGTAGCAAGAATGAGATGATGAGATTAAGTATAGCGTTAAGATGAGGAAAATGTATGTGTATGCACCTGCTTGACTGGCATCGGTCCTGAGCCACATAACTTAGAGTCTCCAACCACTGGTTTTTCGTATCCCTCGGACCCCAACCGCTAGTCTGCATCGCTCCACATGGCTCAGCCAAAGAGTCAAGGGCTTCATCCATTGATGCCATGCTTTAGTCTGGCCTCCTCGGGCCTTTTTCCAACCTGAACCTACTTTGGCCAACATTGTGCTACGAAGCACACTATGGCTAAGCATACGTAACACATGCTCCAGTCATCTCAGTCTATGAGGGTTCGTAATATTACCTCTCAACACTAAAACTCTACATCTGACTTCTACGTTACTCACGTAGTGACACCACGAAATGCGGCCTATGATACAAAGGCAGTAGTGGTCAAACACCTGAAGCCTTCTCATGTCTTTTACCTTGAATGGCCATGTTTCACAGCCATACTGTAGAATAGAGCGGGTTGCAGCACAGTACACTCTGCCCTTAATAGACGATCGGATATCGTGGCGGCGCCACAGACAGCATAGGTTGGTAAAAGTGAACCATACCCATTGTATCCATGCAGAGATTTTCTCGGCCACTGACCCACCAAGGCTGATCCGACTTTCCAGGTAAGTGAAGTATTCAACGTGCTCAACCACTTCAATTTATACTGTCAGTCATGGTACCGTCAAAGACCAGTCCTGGAGAAACAATTCGAACTTGGGTGGCGAAAAACGCATTCTTAGCATTATCAAATTGTAACTTAAGGTATCCAGAAGATTCTGCATCTGGTCAGCGTCTTCACTTAACAGAACTATAGCATCCGCGTATTCAAGTTCTATACAAAATTTTCCTGTGATTCGGTTAATCCTTGTGTAGTTGAATGTCAAGAAGCGGACCTCGATTAATCTTGGATTTTTCATCAAATTTGTTTGTAATTTCTTCACTATAACACAATCAGATTACTTATACTACTATTACTATTGTCAGCAGCAATGCAATTTTAAAGCGTAAACTTTTGACTGGTTAGATATTTATTTTTAACTTACTTTCAGTTGGAATTCGATAGTTTAGCAGCCCAAAGTGGACAAATTTTTAGTGGTGATCAGATTCTGGAAATCAATGGTCAAACAATCAAGTCAAGAGAACACGTTATTGATTTATTTCAACAAAGCAAATCAAAAGTTGTGTTATTAATTGCCAGAGAGAAAACTGTAGGTTGCATCGTGCCAGAAGTATCTGATACTAAAATGGGAGCAGCAGATGCAGTATCCTCAACATCACCAATACAAATGGATATGAAGCATAGGAAAGACAATGAATCTGTTTGTCTACTGCAAAATTTATCAACTCAAGATTCTCAGACATGTTCATCTCTTTCAGTTAAGGAATTATCAAGTAATGAATTTTGTGCATCAAATGATTTTACCAATTCCATGAATAAAGACTGTTCTAATTTCGGGGTAAGTTTGCTTGTAGTATATCTTATGCAACTAACTGATTTTCACGAAATACAACACTACTGTTGCATTGTCTTTAATATCCCCGACATTATTACTGCTGGCGCATGTAATATAAACACTTTCCTACTCGAAAGTTAGCTCATTTAAGAAGATTACACTTCATGAGGTATATGACAAAGTAAACTACTCAGTTAATCAACTTTTGTACATAGTGTTTCTTGATTTTTAAGCGACAGAAACTAATTCTATTCCCTTATAGTTATCACTGGATTTATTGTATCTAAATTTCAAGTTATATCTTTCCCCGTGAAATTTTTGAAAGCTGAATAGTTTTCTAATAGAAACGTTCAGCTGAGAAACCTTCTGGTCAACCTCTGAAATGAAAAATGATGGGAATTAAGCAAGTTTACCATCGAATATCAAGATTATTAAAAATACTGATAATCATCTGTACTTTGACGGTAAGAGAAAATATCTTGGTTTGACAATGAAAATTCTTCTAGGCGTTAATCATCACGCATTAACATCAGTTGGAGAACCGCATGATATCTAGAAGCATTGAATAGTTGGCTGTTACAAGCATAAGACTCCTCACCAATGGTTCGGAATTGATTTCTTTAGCACTATCACCTTTTGGGTCAACCAAATTAGTTATGAAAGCAAACACTCGTCGAAAGCGTTTATCGATGGTCAAGATATACCTCAAATTAACAGAATTAAAAAAGTGTGAACCAATGGTTACAGCTCAGCTACTGAATGACAATGTGTCCGTCACGCGACCTTAATGGCCTGGGTTGGATCCCAGGTGAAATCGTAAATGCACAGTGCTGAGGAGCTATATGCCAGGACGAATCAGCTGCCTATTGTCCTTAGGTTTTTCAGTGGCTTTCCAAAGGATGTCGTCCTGTGATTAAAACTGTTTCTCAGAAATCTCCCATCTAGAATTCTCTGCACTAGAATTTATAAACTTTAGCTATTCGGTTGTTAACTGTCTGGACCACTGTGACCTGACAACCAGGTGAATGTCGATGGCATGCAGCTGTCCACGCACAACTTAAGGAACAGACTTGTAATCTGCTCTGATGTTTATCCATATCTGCTTTTTAAAACGTCACAAAATTATTGAATCCTTAATTCGGCCACTTCACTGTACGTTTATCAAATGATAGTCACAACTTTTCATCGCTTAAAAACATACTGTTCAACCCAGTTAACATTGACCAGCAGGAAATCAAATGAATGTATTTCTTACGGCTTTGAAGTAACTAGTCAAATAATATCTGACTGAAAAGTAATCATCCTTTTACACTGATTACTTACAGGCCTTCACCAGATATATAATATAATGGTTAGATGGCTGACTACTCATTTCATTGTTGACCATCTACTGATATGAGTGTTGAACAAAACGAGATTTCTAAGCATGTTATCCAATCTATAGGTGAATATTTAAAAAAATGGCGCCATACAACATTATGCTTACATTTCACGGATCAGTCAGTGTAGAAATAGATTAGCATCTGTACTGAATTACTTATTTCATTAGGTAAAATGATACAAACTAACAGTTAGAAAGCAAAGTACGGCAGTAGATTACTACTAATAGTCTTGACAGTGACAGTTCTAGTCTTAATGACAAAAATCATAAGTGGTTTCATTCTCCTTCCCCTACCTTTTTTTGGTGATTACAATGACATAAAAGAATAACGAGGAAATTAGTCGATCAAGAAATTTAGGTAGCTTTTAGGTTAGTTGGCGGTAAGAAGATATAACAGCAAAGAGATTAAAGAAAACTTGTTCACATTAAAGACTAGATGACTTCACTCTTCATTTTATTCACCTCCTGTTCTTCTGTTTCTTCTTCTTCATTCATCTGCTTTCCATCCTTGTTGAAATCGATGGCCATAAACAGATGGAGCAAGGCCAATAGTTTAAGAGGGAGGCAGAAAAATGTATGAAAAAAGTGGGGATCAGTGTCTTGTGTATTGATTTATTTCACCGCCGCTTTCTTCTTCATTCAATCTCCATCTTCTATGCCACATCACTCCCCCTCCCTCTTTGCCGCTCCCTCCTTTATTCACTATCTCCATATCTTCTTGAAGATAAAATTGAAATGTATACACACGAAAATAAGAAATAAAGTACCGGTAATGTATGCGTTTACTCTCTCACCCTCTCCCAATCCATCTTCTCTTTTAACCTAGTTGTGTCTACTTTTCCTAGTTGATTTCATTACTAACTTTGATTTGAAGGTACTTTTCTCTCCCTCTCTCTTCTTTATCCATTCCTTCATTATTTTGATTTCTCACTTTATTACTATCACATTGGGTATACTGGTAAAACGATTACTGACGTTCAATCGAAATATCGAAATCATAATTTCTGGAGGTTAATGTATACATTTATAAATGTACGTACCAGTTAGACGGAGACTGTTTTACCTATGACTCATACAAAAGAACATATATCAGCAGTGTATGAGGAAAGTAACAGTCTCTGTGTCGGTATCATTACACAAATAAGTACCAATCTACACGCATGCTTATTTGTACACTTTCTTTAAAGAGGTAAGGTATATTTCTACCTCAAATTAATGATGAAACAACAGACTAAAATATAAACAATCTTAACTTCAACTTCGCGTTTGTTAATTTACTCACAGCAGGATAACTTATCTGGTGTTACTTCTCAATTACACTATCAGTCTCTTAGTACAACAGACACTGATAAAGTTAAATAAATAAAACATGGTACTTGTTTAAATTACATAGAAGTGAAAGATATCAATATTTCCTTTACATGAAAGTAGAATAAATGAAAAACTATCTCTTATTGACGGACTTATTTGTATCAAGATATCGGCACAGAAGCCCGCCGGTCAACAGAGATTGACCAATTTTGCCCAATATAGTAACGGAAAGTTACAAGTACCAGTAAACAACAGCTGATAACGTTTGCACAAGACGACGGCTATCATACCTCAGTGGCCTAGTGGACATCGCTGTAGCGTATGAGGCGACGGTTACGCGGTTCGAGTCTTAGTATGGACAACATCACTCATTAAGATGCAGGTACATCTAGCTGACGAGCCCCAAATGGAAGGAAACGCGCTTCCTGGATTTCACTACTAACCACCAATTAGACTGAAACTTATTTATTTGTTTATCACGATCATTCAGAAACTTAAAACAGCACTATCGATGATATCTGTAGAAATAACTAATCCTTTTGCGAACTTTATGAAAACTTGGGATTAAACAATGGTACTAAAAATCTTTTAACGAGGAAATAGAAGTTTCGGAATGCTTTTAGTTGTGCCTTACCGTTTTTCCATCGATAGGCATGAAGTCTAAGTTTATGGCCCCTCGCTGATTAACTCTTAACATAGAATGTCGAACCACCTGCACTGTAGAGCAATGTCTTAGACCTCACATATAATTAGGTAAGACTCTATACTACTCAGACAATATTGGAATGCATAGAAAATGTTAAATATTTTTTGGGAGTGCTATGATAATGTGAAGGATAACTGTGTGTTTCTTAGCTAGTCCATCGAACAGATTCAGTCTTCAAACTATTCATCTATTCTTAAGCATCCTGCTAACCATTTTTCTCGTTCATGGAAGTCCATTTACCATCTAAAGTGGTTATTTCATTACTTTGAAAATTCAGTCATTAACGAAGACTTCAACGCTACTCATTGCAGGATGGATATAGTGAGATTATTTTAAGCCAAAGATAATGTAATAAGTTGAAAGATTTTCTGGTCAGTGTTACTGAGGTCATATTTGAGAGGTGTCGGTGAAGATTTCAGTGATGCTGAAACTGAAAATCTCAACCAGACCTCATAGATGAACAGCTAGAGTTCTGATATATTAGTGATGGATAGTAGCCAGGAGTGGAGCCTAGGATGCACGTTTTGTCTCATTTGGGACTCGTCAGCTCGATGTACCTGCCTCCCAGTGACTGATTCCATTCCCATTAGGACTCGAACTCGGGACCGATTGCTTCAAACGCCAGAGTGTTACCTACTAAACCTCCGAGTCATCGTAGTCACTTCTGTGCGACGGACATAGTTTTACTGTTGTATTATCCCGTCGCTAAGTGGACGAGTTGATCGGTCTCTATTAGCATATGGCTTCTGCTTGGATGCTTCGTCATTACCTGTGCTTGATTTATACATTGATGAAACGAACCATAAAGTGGACATGAATGAGTGGTTTCCATTCTGTACCTACGTCCTATCAACTTGCCAAAGGGTACTCGGCTCAGGATCCTTCAAACTTCCGAAGCAGTGCCAATCAGGATCAAACAACCCGAATTACGTGTTCAAAAGAAGTAAACGATACATCTGCAACTACTGTGGTTCAATTCAGAATGTACAAAGTCATTAGCATTTTGCCCCAGATAATCTAATTCCATACTATAGGTACCCTTTATTCCCTAGAATCTGAAATAATTTTCACAAATTCTCTTAACCTATTTTATCCTTCTAAGTTTCTTTCATCCAGCTCTCATAAACATCGGATTTTTTAAATTAAACTTTCACCTTATATTAGTACATAAATCGTATAGTCATTTAGATAATCAGTTACTTGAACTATATTCCAGTAATAACTGATTCTGTCATTAACGTTTATACAAGACTTTTCTGAACCAACTTCCTCAACTGGATAATATTAACAACAAACTGATAGGCTGCACGTCTGTATTGCTGACACTTGATTCCTGAATATGTATATATAACCCGAAGAAAAAGTTATTGAAAAGAATATTTATTTGTCTACTCAAATGGTTTCTGAATTGTAATGGGAATTTTTACTGTTTATAAAATTTTATCTTGAAAAGCCTTCATCTCCGAACTCACTTGAAGTTTAAGTGAAGGTAGGTATCAAGGTTGTTATGAAAAAATAAATTAGGATGATGAGTAGTAATCGTATAACAACATGTCTAAGTTACATTAACGATGCCTGAAACATAGACTGTAGTGCACAAATAAC